ATTATACTTCCTTATGAGTTTTGGCTTTCTGTGCAACAAATATTCAGGTTCCTCCTTAAATTTCAAATGCCTTTGGAGCATAACAACATCACACTCATTAAAATTGATTTCAAGTCATGGATCTTAAGAGGTCCTCTGATCTCGATCTGAAGATTGCAGCTGACAGACAACCTAATTCATCCCTTGATGCACCATCCCTGTTAATGTCCAAATATTCCCCCTCTCCATTCATTATCTGTTATGTTCCCAGATGCCAACCCTTTCTCTCTATTACTTCTGCAGATGGTGATGGTCAAATTACGGCTGGAAAGAGAGGGAGAGAACATTGGGCTGATATGTTCTTAGCTTGGGAAATTGGCTGTCAGCGAGAGCTTCTGGGCTTTCTTCTGTTAGCAAATGTCATTTACTTTTTCTAATTAGCTGTAATTAGCTGGCTCCAAAGTTCTTAAAGTATTTATCACATTTCAGGGACTAATAGAATGAGCCTAGGGACGTGCCTTTTGGAAATGTGTCAAACGACAGTGTTTGGCTATTTTCTGCAGCACAAAAGGTTCTTTCCCAGGGGGCTTAATGGAAGCAAACTTTCATAGGAGCCTAACCAACCTTCTGTTGCCTCCAAGGAAAACAAAGGATTTCTTTGCACATTCATGCAGCAGGTTGTATACAACATCATCCACTGTGGACACAGGGTCGCTGAAATTAAGATACGAGTTGCAGAACAATTCCTTAAGCTCTCAACCTTAGAAGTGCAATTTCAGCAACTAACAGTACCAGTTTTGGATTTCAGATGGTAAAGAATACCCAGAATTGGGAAATGAAGCAGTCGTCCACCTGCAGCATTTGGTGTCATCTGTCTTTGTGAGCAGGGTTCTCAACGATAGTGATCCTCAAAACTAACCCCCCACAAAAACCCTTATGTTTAGTAGTAAGAAATGAGTCACAAGGTAGCCTTTCTAATATAACCCCTCAGTGGAATGAAATCTGGAAGAACAAACATGCCCAGATGCCTCACTAAAACCCTTCAGAATATCTGTATCTTGTAGGATTCAACTTTAAAGAAATAGTGGGGTGTCTGACTTCACCATTCTCTTTAATTTCACTTCACTTTAATTTCAATTTCCCTGCTGACCTTTTGAAAATCACAGTAGTTACAATCACTTATTCCCTCTCAACCCCAAAAATAATTGGGTAGATACAAGCAGTTAACTGGAAGCAGACTGACCTCTAGCGGCAATCTGTGTTTGTGTTGTCCACATTAAGCCTGCGCAATGTAACTAGCAGAGCACCAGTTGCTTGACAACACTCGTATTTTGGCAATCTAAGACAAGCAGCGAAACCAAGAATTTTATCAATCGCTGATGTGCGCCATACATGACTCGTGGGCTGTGCTTGATTTGGTGGGGCTCAGCCCTGCTGGCCTCTGCCTGCCTTCAGCAATGCAGGATTCCTTTTTTTAAAAAATAAATAAATTTTATTGATTTTCCAAACAGTTATCCAATTTTAACCAAAATACAATAAATTATTTCTTTTTTGAACTTCCTTCAAAGTCTCTGACAATCATCCGTATTTATACAGCAATATCAGGTAACTTGGATCGCCCACTTCACATGTTTCTGAGATCTCTTTCCGGCGTCCCAAGATGTGTCTCAGGTGCAGCCTTACGTCTTGAGTTCGCCCAGCCCTCAATTGTAAAACGAGCATGGAGTCGAGCCATTTCCTACAGCTCCCACCTACTACCATCGGATGCTCGAATTAGAGGTGGTTTCTCCAATCTGATCCTAAGAGATATTCATAATTCTCCTTGGAAAACTACAATTAATCTCAAATTCCGCTCTCTTCTCAATTTGAACCGCAAAACTGTTTTTAATTTAGAGTGTATAAGCCCGGCAGCCCTACCTCTAATCAAAAAGAAGCTGCAGCAACTTGACTTCTCTAACACAGCTTCCCATGCAAGAGGGCCGTGTTCAGGCTTAGCCCTAGCTATTCCACCCCCTGAAGGGATCCCTCTATACTGCTTTACAATTCCTTCGGAGGCTAAACGAAGGGCCTTTACCTGTGCCCGTCTCAACTGTTTTCCTACAGCAGTTCTGTCGGGTCGTTACTCCAGAGTTCCCAGCGCAAATAGAACATGCTCCTGCAATGACACGGTTCTGGAGACTATGGAACATGTAATGCTCTTCTGTCCCAACTGGACAGATGAAAGATCTCGGTTCCTAACTCCTCTCGTGAACAAGCTTCATCTCCCAATCCAGCCTTGGATAGTGTCCCTTCTTCTGCAGGATTCTGACCGTTGGATTACCGAGATGACAGCTAATTTCCTGCTTAGTGTGATGAAGAGGAAAGCGGCACCAACTCCTTCCTCAATACCACAGATGTAGTCGATACGCCGCACAATCGAACCTGTTTTTTGTATTCTCTGTCACTCAATGTTTTAAATCTCCCGTTACCTTTGTTATCCCCATTTTCTCAAAGTATTCGCCCAGAACGGCATACACTTTTATCTCCCCACCCCCATTTTATGTTGTTATTTCTATGTATATTATGCTATGGCCGCATGGCTAATGCAATAAAATCATTATATATATAACTTTAGTTACACATTCCCTTCTTTCGTATTGCCATTATACTTCCCTTCTCCCACTATTTCATATTAACAATACTTCTCCATTTTTACAGTGCCTCTTGAAAACCCACTAGCGTTGTGTTCACGCCACATATGTTTTTCAGATAATCTACGAACTTTCCCCAGTCTTCGATGAACTTTTGGTCCTTAGTGTATCTGATTTTCCCCGTTAATTTATCCAATTCCGCGTAATCTGTCAGTTTCAATCTCCATTCTTCTATCGTCGGTATTTCCTCTTGTTTCCATTTCTCAGCCAACAAGATTCTGGCTGCCGTTACTGCATATTGGAAAAGTTTACAGTCTTTTCTTCTTATATCCTTTCCTACAATCCCTAAAAGAAAAGCCTCTGGTTTTTTTACAAAAGTATATCTTAACATTTTTTTCATTTCATTATATATCATTTCCCAAAAGCTTTTCACTTTCTTACATTCCCACCACACATGAAAAAACGTCCCTTCTTTTTCTTTACATTTCCAACATTTGTTACACATCTTATACATCTTTGCTAACTTTACAGGTGTGATGTACCATCTGTAAAACATTTTCATAACATTTTCTTTCAGTGTCATGCATGCAGTAAATTTTATGTTCTCTTTCCACAATTTTTCCCATTCATCAAATTGAATATTATACCCAAAATCTTTTGCCCACTGTATCATTACCGATTTAACCTCTTCATCTTTCGTATGCCATTCCAACAGTATCTTATACATTTTTGACAGTTTTATATTCATTGTTTATTATGTCTCTTTGAAAATTAGATTCTTTTTCTACATAACCCTTAGCAATGCAGGATTCCTAACACTGATGTGGAGTTCCCCATTTCACCCACGGAACATGCAGGCAGGCCTAAGTGCCACTAGGTGGATTCTTGACTGCAGCAGCCACCCAAGCCTCACTGTTGGGGTTCAGCATCCACAGAATTCAAAGCTGGCCCTGCCACCATTGCATGAGGGCACCGGGCCCAATTGTTGCACCAGTTTCAGGCAGTTTTGGGGAAGGGACTTAGCTCAGTGAGCTTTAAGTGCAAAAGGTCCTGGGCTCAATTCCTGGCATTTCAAGGTAGGGCTGAGAGAGACATGCCTGAAACCCCAAATGGGTTGCTGCAAGTCAGTGTAGACAATACTGAACTAGATCAGGTGTCAGCAAATATTTTCAGCAGGGGGGCAGTCCACTGTCTCTCAGACCTTGGGGGGGGGGGCTGGACTATATATTTTTTTGGGGGGGATGAATGAATTCCTATGCCCCACAAATAACCCAGAGATGCATTTTAATAAAAGCACACATTCTACTCATGTAAAAACACCAGGCAGGCCCCAAAATAATCCAGAGATGGATTTTAAATAAAAGGACACATTCTACTCATGTAAAAACACACTAATTCCCGGACCGTCCACATGCTGGATTTAGAAGGTGATTGGGCCAGATCTGGCCCCTGGGCCTTAGTTTGCCTACCCATGATCATGGGCAGGCAAACTAAGGCCCGGGGACCGGATCCGGCCCAATCGCCTTCTAAATCCAGCCCACAGATGGTCCGGGAATCTACATGAGTAGAATGTGTCCTTTTATTTAAAATGTAGCAATGCATTAGAATTGGGATGTTGGGAAAGCAAGCTCCTATTTTCATCTATGAAATTAGATACTGCACAACTGAAGTTGAGCCAACAATAAAGAATTCGCTTTTCAACTCTCAGGATTATGTTCCAAATGGAGGTTTACAGAGCAGCCCTATGTATGTCCACAGAAGTCCCACTCTATTAAATGGGCTTACTCCCGAGTACTGCCGCGAACTTTCGTTTAAATTGTTCTGTAATGTAACTGCAAAACCAGCATTTGCTAGAATCGTGATCTGTGGGTTGCGGTCTTCACACGCTTCCCTGAGAGTAAGCCTTACTAAAAACAGCACAGAGTAAACACGCACAGGGTTGTGCTGCAAGACGTTCCGTGCAAGAGTTTTGCAGGTGGTCCATTTATTTCATAAAATTTATACACTGCTGGGCGGGGTGAGAGAGAAAAACCACACATCTCAAAACAAGCTAAGACCCAACAATAAAATCAAGAAAAAATTACAATTGTTTAAAAACGTACAAGCAAGTTATCGAATACTGTGACCCATTAAAATTCACGGCAGAAGTATCTGGGCCGTTTGCTTTTAGATCCCCTCCAAAAAAAGAAAAAGGAATTTGCAACTCTATGTCCGCTGCCGCCTCCAGGGGCTGTAGCGTCGTTATACTATTATTTGTAAGTTACTATTTGCAAGGGAGGCTGAGTAGCGCAAGGAGAACTCTTGGACTCAGTCCCGCCCCCACTGACGTCACTTTCCCCGCCGGTCCGGAACCCTTTTCTCGTGTTATCCTTTTCCCCTTCCGCTCCCCCTCAGAATGCCTATCCAAGGGAGCCTATTAAGCGGTTGCGCTTCCTTCGCCGGAAGCCGCGGCGAGGATTTGCGGAAGTCGGAGGCGGAGCCAGCCCTCTTTCGTTGTGGCGGCTGAAGGAAGATGGTGAGTGCGGGATTGGGGGCGGCGGGGAATCCTTTGCCATCCGTCGCCGTTTAGGGCCCTGCGGCCGGGGCCGCGTAGGGAAGCGTTTCCCCGGAGACTGCTAAAGACGGGGAGCCGTGTATTTTTGGCCGCGTCCCTCAGGCGTTGCGGCCGCGCTCAGCCGCGGGAGCCTCGAGTCCCATAGCGCGAAGAGAGCGCGGGGAGCTGCTACGAGGAGGCCCGGTTGGGCCTACCCGCGGGCTCCGTCTGTCTCGGCAGCGCCACGGGTTGGTTCGGCGGAGGTTAGAGGGGGAAGCCGTGCAGAGGCCTAGTCCTGGCTCGGGTCACCTCCCAGCTCGAGCCACGACCCGTTGTCTTGTTTCTAGCGTTGCTTTAAGGCGAGGAATAGGAGTGACCAAACGTGTGGCTGCAAAGTTGATGGGTTGCAGGTATACTAGCATGTTAGGCGTGTGTGTTTGCTCTGATTTCTGGAGTGAAAAGATGCTACTGGGCTGTGAAGGATGCAGAATGCTCGTGTTTCTTAATAAATAAAATCACCTTAAAGTACTGTAGAAAAGTGAAAGCTCTTGGTTTTTTTTAATATATATCGCATACATTATGTTGAATAGCTTATGTGTGAGTGTGTACACATGGGTCCCCTAATACTGATGCTTTGGCCAGTATACCAATCGGTATTAAAATGCCTAAGGGTGTCTCAGTGAACTTTGTGAATGTTCGAAAATGCTTTACAGCCGGATCCTACTCATGCAGACTCAGATTAAAACCTCAGTTTCAATGGGACAGAGGCCTCGGGGATCACATCGCTATAATATTTTATTGGGTTCTGTTAGTATAGTAGCTGAATCAAGCACAACCACAGCAATGGAAAGGTGAACTAAAAAACAAAAAGGTTGGCAAAAGGGTAAGGGGCTTTGGGCACCTTCTGAGGGAGGCTGGCACCCCTCGTTCTTAGAGGGATTTGAAATTCATTTAAAATCTGAAATGCATTGCCGTTTTGAGTGAAAAGCGTGCCTTTCATTTAATAATAAGGTAGTGCTGGGAAAGAGCACAGAAAATTGACAGTGCCTGTAAACCCACCATAAATTTTCTGTAGTTTTTGTCATTCAGTGGAAATGAGAGATTTGTGGTTTCATTTTAGAAATGTTTCACGTCCTTTGTATGGTTAAGCCTTCACCAATCTGGTGTCCTCCTAATTTGTTGGACTGCAACTCCTATTTCCTCCAGTCATCAGAGCTGTGCTGTGCTGGTATGGGATGATGAACATGTATATAGTACATTTCAAGGAACATTCAAAAAGATCCTAGTAATCCCAACAGTGGGCCAGCATTGTTTCTGTCTTGCTGGGGCAAAGACTGAGGGAGAATTGCTTTTCTGAAACCACAAAGTGAATGGCATAGCAGAGATGGGAGCTGAATATCTTGTAGTTCACATTCTTCATATGCTGTACCAACCCAATAACTCTTGTCCTCATACTATGTCTGCAAAATACACTTGGTTTTTTTCTATAAAACGCTTGTTGCTCGTTAATGCTTTATCAAAATGTAGGATTAAGAATGTTCTACATCTGTTTATTCTAATAATGTAACACTGCATATTATTATAATAATCGTAGTAGTTGCATAAACATTTTCATTTATGTTTTAGACAAAAGGAACATCCTCCTTTGGAAAGCGTCGCAATAAGACGCACACTTTGTGCCGTCGATGTGGGTCCAAGGCCTATCATCTCCAGAAGTCCACCTGTGGAAAATGTGGATATCCTGCTAAGCGCAAGAGAAAGTGTAAGTGCAGAACTTCCCAAATGCAGGAGCATATCTGACTTTCACATGACTGGTTCTGTGATACCTTGCTGCTTTGAGATCCATGGTGTTGCACCATATAAACGCAAATACATAGTTTATTGTGAAAATATTTTGCCTGAGAAAAACAGTGTAGCAAGTTTAATATAACTTTGGATTTAACGACTCGTAGCTATAGGCAATCAGAGGTTTCATGCAGGCAAGTGACTGGGCTGAGGAAGGAGTAACAGGTTGTTCTATCCTTTTTCTGCTTTGATAGAGGCAATTTCACTCCATCGCCAGTGTAGAAATTCAGGCTACTAGCTTGAGCACACTAGTAAAAATGGCGGGCTAATTACTTGTGTGTGTGTTTCAGTTTTAACATGTGGAGAACAAAACGTTTTCACATTTTCTGAGATTGCTATTCATATTTTCTGTGCTTGGCCTTTTCAAAGAGAGCCAGCATGGGTAGAATGGTTAAAGTGTAGGGACTAGTATTGAAGTCAACAAGGTTTGACTCCTTACTCAAGCCATGTGTTTCACTGGCTGACATTGGGCCAGTCACTCTCTATGCCTTATCTATGAGCATAAAAATGGGCAGTAGAACCCGTGGAGGAAAGCTGATATGCAGATCAAACAAACTTGCTTCTTGATTGTAATGTATCACATAATCTGCTTTTTTGTATTCTAGATAACTGGAGTGCTAAGGCCAAGAGGCGCAATACTACCGGAACTGGCCGTATGAGGCATCTGAAAAAGGTCTACCGCAGATTCAGGTACAGTAGTATATCCTTGCTATTACAGATAATGTGTTCTGGAATGCAATGTAGGTTATTTAATGCAAGATCCATATGAATATATGCTGTAAGCTACCATGGTGGTTTTTTTTTTTAATGGGCAGGGTATAAATATTAATAAATTAGAAGTAATGAGTTCTAGCTAACTAGATTAATGTGCCTGTTAGTCATGTCCATTACAACATTAATAGGTAATAAAGCAATTATATCTCTTAAATGAGATTAAGCGTCACTGAACTCAGTGAGACTTTCTCCTTAGTAAACTTGTGTAGGATTGCACTGTAAATAGTCTTAACCTGGCAGTGTATTCTAAACAAAGAGCAGCCTCAATGGCTGATATTTCCAGCAGTGCATCTTGAAGTCCATTATACTGTTGAAAACACTACCAGGGTATTTAAATCTTACTGCTTTAACCCCCACCCCCAACACACATACACACATGCAATGTATATACTTGAAACTGAGTATTAAAGTTGACTCATCTGACAAAGCTGATGCTAGTCCATGAAGATTTATGATATAATAAATTGGTTAGTCTTTAAGACAGGTTTGTGTCGCAACAAACACAGCTACCCCTGGGGGGCATTAAAGGGCACTTTAAAATGTTCAGCATGTTGAGAAGTGTTTATTCATTTTAGCAGCTTATCTATGATGCCTACAAAAACAAAAGTCTGAACATCTGAGTTCATAAGTGATTTCATTTTTAAACTGAGATAAGCTGATTAAAAAGAACACTAAAATCAGTTAAATGGAAATGTTCGCTCTAGAACACTTGTAGTAATCACTAACTCCACTTCGTCTTGTATACACAGGAATGGATTCCGTGAAGGAACAGCGCCAAAGCCCAAGAGAGCTGCTGTTGCAGCATCCAGCTCATCTTAAGGACTTAAATGTGTTTTTAAAATAAATGGCCTGAACTGCTAAGAACGCTTGTCATCTTTACATGTTCCTCAGTATCTCCTCTTCCACATTGAGACCTTTGTTCAAGCTTGGTTGTTCAGATAGTTCCTGATGGAAAGTAATCTGAAATTTGATGAGATAAATATATAAAATCTCATGTTCAAATACACAAAACTCCCCCCCCCCCAAATACCCAAAACCTTAGTACTGGTTGTGTGAAGCTTCATTTTGGTGGTATGGTACAGTTGGATATGTTGAAGATGTGTCATGAGAAAACTTGCTCCAGAAATTTATAACACAAAGAATACGTTTTATTGGAGTGTCCACAACTAGCTTTGTATATTCACATATAGAAGATGGTAATTTAGGCTGTAATCCTTAAAGTGGGGGCTTTCACATCTGAAATTTATTGAAACATTCTTCTGCAAGTTCACTAGTAAAACGATACTAGGAACAGCTTCATTTTGGTTTAATAGAGGGGGAGCTGCCTTTGTAATCTTGACCTAAACCATCATACATTTTAGCCCGTACAAGTATTTATTACAATTCAAATGTTGAATTTGTCAGAGGGCATGTGCCCTTTATTATACTGCTGAGTTGCCAGTATATAGCGAATTTAAAAAAGGCATATTATGAGATATTCAGTGTTGGGTGTCCTTGACGTAGCGGCATAGACCCTTTGTAATTGAAATAACTTGAGCGTCAGATTCTACTACAAGTATGACTAACATTGGATATCACCTACTGTATTTGCATTTAAGATACTGCCAAAGTTGTCCATTGTAAGGGGAAGGGTCCAATAAAGCAAGGATTGTGCTAAATGTGATAGTATTTACATGGCCAAAGTTTTGGGGCACATGGGCAAATTTGGAATTTTGAGAGCGCCACGAGCATTGATTTCTTTGCTGTCTCCACATTGGTCTCCAACACATAAACCCAAGATAGCAGAACATAGCATTGGGCAAAAAAACAAATTAGGTTTACAAGACAGGTTGCTCTGAGTATTAACTGCTGTAGTTAATACTAAGCACTATGTAAACATGAAATGCTATATTCTCTTAATGTACAGAACCAGATTTTTGATAGCTTCAAGAAAAAGCAACTTTAAAAATTTCAGCATAACTGGGACTTTGCACATTCAACAACTCTGGACCACAGAGCTTAAAAGCAACACTTAAGAAAAGTAGCAAAATGCATATTTCTCAGTAATTATGGATTACCTTCTAGATCATTTGTTGGCATAAGATCTGGCCGTGTGGTCATTGGCGGACACAGTGGAGTAGGGCCTTGGTGAGATCTGGTCTGTAAAGTATGCCATCTGGGATCAAATTCTGCCATAGCTCAGAGGGGGTCCGTCTCTGGTTCTAGTCCAAAAGCCTGCAAAGCTGTTGCTAGTCAGTGCAGGCAGTACTGATCTCTTATCAACCAATGGTCTGATTGATGCTCCAGTTGATGTTTAGGCATGTAAAAGATGGGTTTGAGCATAATTGGGAGGAGAGACCACAGTCGTGTTGCTGATTTCATGAGTTGAATTTGATGAGGTGGCTGCTATTTTGTTATAGGCATGGGTGAATTGTAGCCAGTGATTTGCAATAATGCGAACAAAGCCAGACAGACCCAATAGCAGGTACTCATTTGATTGTTCTTTCCAGAGAATGTTATCTCTTTGTTTTGTTGCAGTGCTGACTACGCACCTGCGCTAATGCAGGTTTGGCATATTGATGCTGCAATTCTGTGCATGCACACTTGAAACACCTACCTTTTAATACAGGGCAACATAGTTTTGAGTAACCTTGGAGGGAATCCAGCCTCTCTCTGTGTGAAATAGTGGGTGTGTTTTTATAACGGAAGAGAAGGAGAACTGTGAGTCAGCCTTTCTTCCGCCTATTGCACCTCCCTTGATCTGGCCCTTGGCCAGGTTCATTTCTGAAGAGAGAATCTCTTCTCTGTGTGTCTTGTGTTTGAGCTATTCTGGAATACATTTAGTAACTCTTAAAAACTGATTACTGCCATGTATTTTAATCTTAGCATGGCCTGCAAAAATTAGACAGGTAAATATCTTCCTATCTACCAGGAAATGTTTGAATATGTTTGAACCAGTGGTTAGCATCACCAGTCTAAAAAGGATAACAAAGAGAGATCCAGTCTAACATCTCTTGGGAGGGAATTCCACAATATTGGAGCAGACACTATCAACCATGCCTCCAGCTCACCTTACTAGATGACAGTGGGGACAGAGCACGTCCAGAATGGTTAGGAGCCAGTGGGCAGCCTTATTCACCATGAATCTGCCTAATCCACTTTGAAAGCCATGCAAGGTGGTGGCAGTCAACCCACCCATGAGGGAAGGGAAGGAAACTGCCTCGGGCAGCAGGATTCACTGGGGCAGCAGATTCAGCCTCCAAGGAATGTAGTATGAGAGCCAGTGTGGTGTAGTGGTTAAGAGCAGTAGTCTCGTAATCTGGGGAACCGGGTTCGCGTCTCTGCTCTTCCACATGCAGCTGCTGGGTGACCTTGGGCCAGTCACACTTCTTTGAAGTCTCTCAGCCCCACTCACCTCACAGAGTGTTTGTTGTGGGGGAGGAAGGGAAAGGAGAATGTTAGCCGCTTTGAGACTCCTTAAAGGGAGTGAAAGGCGGGATATCAAATCCAAACTCTTCTTCTTCTTAGATCTTGGTCCTGATGTAGATCTTCACTCCCCTCTTCTTCCCTGGCACAGGGTGGGAGAGGGACACTTTTGTGGTTTGACTCAGGTGCCAAGATGTCTTGGGCCAGCCCTGCCATCACTATATTCTGTGGGAGCGAGTCCCATAGGGCAACATGCTGCACGAAGGAGTGGATTTATTGTGGTCTTTTAGTTGTGCATGTGCTGAAGCAGACTATATATATGCACATATATATCTATTTATCTCGTATCATAGAATTGGAAGGGATCTCAAGGGTCATCTAGTCCAGGGATCTCAACTAGATCATAAACGACAGAAGGCAATGATATGCCTTTCCCCACTGCCATGGACTCAAGTCTGTTCATAGCCCAGGAACCGAATTGTTGAGCTTAATTAAAAGGCTTGTGATCTAAACAGCATCTACAGTCATACCTCGGGATAAATACGCTTCAGGATAAGTATATTCGGGTTGCGCTCTGCGGCGATCCGGAAGTAATGGACCGAGTTTTGCTGCTTGCGCATGCGCAGATGGTCAAAATGACATCACGTGCATGTGCGGAAGCGGCGAAATGTGACACGCGTAGTCGCATCTTACGTTCTGTTCAGGATGCGAACAGGGCTCTGGAACGGATCCTGTTCGCATCCCGAGGTACCACTGTACCTCCGAAACAAGTCCACTTGAACTCAACCAGGCTCACTCTAGGGTCTAGAAGCAAGGCTTTCTGTCGTTCCCTAATTTCCCAAACAGGAAATTACATGCCCTCCAACATTTCACCGATGATAATAGGGACTTTCCATTCCATAATGATAATTATACTATTTATCCCTCCCCCCCATCTTACTGGGTTGCCCCAGCCACTCTGGGCAGCTTCCAACATACATAAAAAAACCATAATAAAACATTACAAAAAAACACAAACACTGATTGCCATCGGTCATCTGGGGGTCGGATAACTCCATACCCTCCAACATTTCTGCAATGAAAATAGGGACATAAAGCGGGACGTTTCGGGATCCTATCAGAAACCGGGGCGCCTTCTCTAAATCGGGGACGTCCCTGGAAAACGGGGACACTTGAAGGGTCTGGGATTATTTGGAATAATGATCCCCCCGAGGCCTGCCTGCCTATGTCTCCCCACCCGCCTCCCGCCCCTAGGTAAAAGCGGGGTAAAAGCAAGAAGCCGCGGAGTCTCGCTTCTGGGCTTTCGAGGCGGGCGGGCGCTTGTGTGGTTGAGGCTCCTCGCACCCCGCACAGCCTCGCCTGAGCTCCTCTCTCCTATTGGCGAGGAGGCAGAGCACCGGGCCGCCTCGCTCCCCCGCTCCCTTGTGCGCAGGCTCGGCTCTCGGCGCAAGATGGCGGCGGCGGATAAACAGAAACATGAGCACGGGCGGGTGAAGATAGGGCACTACATCTTGGGGGACACGCTGGGCGTGGGCACCTTCGGCAAAGTCAAGGGTGAGCGCGGGGCAGGGAGGGCGGAGGCGGCAGCGGAGTGGACCCCCTTCCCGGATCATTTGGGGTCAGGGTGGCGGGGGAAAGGGGCTGTGTCCTTTCCACCCCAAAGGCTGCTGGCGCCTTTTCCTAACGGGGAGAATATTTTTTTGGGGGGGGAGAGGCGATGGTGGGAGGGGGCGTTGCTTAGTAACCTGGGGAGGGGTTGCATCAGTAGTAGCTTTGCCCCCCCCCCCCAGTTTTGCAAAACGGGGCTCTCGTTTTTGGGGGGCGGGAGGTAGGGAAGAAGGTAGGTTGATTGCACCTTTCGGTCTTCCAGCTGAATATCAGGATTGGGTGTGAAAAGACCCACCCCCCAAAAAAATCTGCCTGCAAAACCTCCCAGCAACCCATATCTTATGGCTCTGCTAATGCAAGATGGTCTATGTTGCCTATCCGGATGCAAGTTCACTTCTATGGAAGGGAGGGTGTAGGATTGCAAGGCTTAACCGCGCAGGGCAGCCCCAAACCTGTGCATGTTTACTCAGAGGTAAGAGCTCAGTCAGTTCAGTGAGGCTCTGCTCCCAGAGTTTAGGGTTTGTGTCCTGACAACCTGATCCTTAACAAACTTACTCGCTCAGGACACAAGGTCCCATTGAATTCGTTTGTGTTTCTGGGTTGCAGGCAGCCTTGCAGTTGCAATCCACTGCACTTTATAGACGGAAGTAAGCCCAACTGACTCTGATATGACTTACTTCCAAGAAGTGGTATGTGCATTTATGGCTTGGATGACTCACAGGAGTGACAGCTTGTGTTTTTTCCTAATTAGTTGATGTGGAGCAGTTGATGTGTAGTTTTGTGAACTCACCTTCAGACTTCTTTTCTGTTACTGTCACCTTGCAATCCCTCCTGCTGTTTGCAGCCAGGGCTAAGTTCCTTGTTCTTGCCCTAACCAGTTTCAACCAGTCCAGGGCTGCATGTTCCCCCCCTCCCATTCCCCATAAGCAGCTTTTGCTGGGATCTGTCCTGAAAGTGATATGTTAAAATAAGAGTGTTGGTAAATAGGGTCAGGTAGAGAATTGTGCTCTGTCTGGAAAACTTTACAGCAGTAATCAACAGTCTATAAATTCTTTCTAAAAAGAACAGGCTAGTTATGAGTGCTAAAGCCGAGGTGATTGATGTGTATACATGGAATCTCAAGTTCATGGTGTTCTTACTAAAAGCTGGCAAGGGTGGAATTTGTTTCTCTGTTACTTCTTGCCAAAAAAAAAAAAATCCCTCTAAAATCACCATTGGAGATATTGCTAATGGGGTCTTGGATCTTACAAGCCAATCTTAATCATGTTTACTTAGACGCAAGTCTCAGGGGCTTCACAAAAGAAATGACTTGGAGGAATAAACAAAACAGATACAGATACCACAGTAATTAACTCAGCATCATAAAATAATTATGCACATTAAAGTAATAAAGACAGGGTAGGTAGTTGTACATTTAAAACTAGCTGAAATAAATAAGGATTTGGTTCATCTTCAGAATCCTAATAGTTTTGTAGTCTGGCAGACTCACTTTGGGAACATTTTCTAAAATTATGGTGTTGCCAGAAAGTGTCCGGCCTCATCATCCACTTTTAACAATTAGACAATGATTTGGCCCTTGGGATTGTACTTCAGACTCCTTTGCTCTTTCTTTGCATGCTTCAGTTCCCTCCCTTGCTTCCCGGTTCCTGTTTTTGCATTTCAGCCAAGTGAGCTAGAAGTCATAGTGAGGTTGGGGATCCAGAACATAGGAGTGAGAGTGTGATCCCAAGGAATGACCCAACAGCCAGACCATGGTTAGCTGTGCATCAAGATGATGGATTAACCCAGGCATCGCTTAATTTTGATAAAAATTAACTTTGTTGCATCACTTTCCTCTTTCTTCAAATTGTGGGTGGAGTGATTTGATTTCCTCCTCAAGGATGTTTTCAAGTGGAAACATGGAGAGATTCTCTTCCAATAAGGCTAATCAGAGGATGTTTTGTTGCCCCTTGATAGCTTTTCATAACATGTTAACCTCTTGAATTTTGACTCTCAAGGTAGCTTTCTGCACTGCTTGTTGGCTTGGGCTGGTCCTTATTTAACCTCCCATTAGGATGGTACCTGGAGCAGTGCTCTTCCTGAAGCTCATATGGGGGGGGGGGGGGACGGACGGACATTTCCTCAAATATCATGGCCCTGCTGATTTCATGCTCTGAAGGTAATTGGAGCTAGTATCTTGAATTAGTCAGTCAAAGTGTAGGTGATCCAAAGTGATAATCACCCAGTTCATAACATCCCTTTAAACCACAGTTAAGCTTAACTATGGCTTAATGCATGCTGGTGTACATAGGAAAAGAATTGCTGCCTTTTCATTCCTCCATTGCTCCTGTGCTATCAAGAACTAAGCCATGTCTTGGGTTAATGTGTCCAAACCCAGGGTCATGGTTTGGTTGACAGAGACTAACCATGTGCATCTGTTCAGACTTCTAAGCCAAACAGTGGCTTAGCTCTCAGTTGCATGGCAACCATAAGGTTAGCTATATTTAAAAGTGATGTGCTAACAAGAGCAGTGTGTCTTCTTTGCATGTTTCCGGCAAGCAATTGGATGGTAGAATTTTGTATCTGTTTGCACCTCGGCTAGAGAGCACTACCTCTACAGGAATAGATCTTGGAGGTTGCAAGAGCCTAAGTGGTGGAAGACTGCTTACCAGATGCAACTCAATAAATCTTGCACAATTGCACATTAAAGTTTTGTTTGCATTGGTAAGTAGCTGTGATCTGTTGGCACCTACTATCTGACAAGAAGAGCTTTCCGCACAGCAGATGATCACTCTTCATTTGTGGGGACACTGTAGAGGAAGATACTCTTTACTGTTTGTCCAAATGTTCTGTCTTGAAAAAGATAAGGTGCAGATACCTTTTCTAACTGCTTGCTAAAATGACTTATTGACCTACTCTGCAGAAGTTTCTGCATGTATTTGCAAGCAATGTTAAAAAGCTGTTAATGGATCGTCTTACTGTTGCTAAATTGCACAGAAATATTCAAAACAGTAGTTTGCTCTTTATTATGTTTGGTTTTTGGACTTGACAGTAAACTTTGAACTGGTACTGTTTTGTCGCTGGGCGCTGACTGGCTTTCTAGGCTGTCTGACAAAGTTCTGTGTCACTTGTTCAGAATGCATTGGCCAAATAAATGACATTGCCTAATTTGGACCCGTGTACTAGAGTGGAATACTTTGTAATCGGCGCTGTGCTAACAGAATAGTAGACATTAAGACTGTATAATGTGTATCAACCAAGTTTAGGAGCTAATGAATTGTGATTTTCTAGAGGACCTTGTAAGGCAATTGCCAAAAGTAATAATTGTGATGGATTAGGTGATTATCGAAGATGAACATAAAATCAAAGTCCTAACCCAAGTTGTTTATTTTCTTTCTTATTCAGTACTTGCTGTGTAACTGCAATGTGCTCTAGTTACTCTAGTCAACAAGGCCTTGCAGCTTGAACCTCCCATGCACATTTATGTAGAAATTTGGAGAAGTTTGATGACACTTATTTCCAAGAAAGTGTGCATAGGGTTGCAGACTTAGAATAGTGTTTTGCAACCTATTTTCAGTCTTTTCATGAAGTTACTAAAAGCAGGTATCCATTTGTATTCCGGATAGATGCAGGTGGGATTAGTTTGATACCATTAATAAGTCAAATAATTGGCAGACCTGTTTTAAAACAAACAGAACTGGAATAATAATAATAATAATAATAATAATAATAATAATAATAATAAATTTTATTTATATCCTGCCCTCCCCAGCCGAAGCCGAGCTCAGGGCGGCTAACAACAATAAAACAGTACAAAAGTACAGCATAAACAACACTCTAAAATCATTCATTATAAAATTATATAACAAGACCGCCTTGTAGCTTTTAAAATTTATTTTAAAGGTGGTATAAGCTGTTAATGCAAACCTCAGTGGAGAAATTATCTCTCTTGCAGCAATTGCTCTGTGGGCAATTCGAAGAAATATATTAAGCATCTGCTGTTTTGCTTACTGCTGTCTGAGACAGGATTTTCAGTCGGATGAATCACTAAATGTACGAATCAAAATGCCAATTTCGAATGCTGTTCCAGCATCTCTGACTAATACTAGCAGGGCTGAATTGACACAAGAGGGGAGAATGTTGGTGTGGTAATAACTGGGCAAGTTGTTAGTCCTCTTGTGTAAAGGATCACTGAGGGGGGGGCCTTTCCGAAATGTAAGTGTGTGTTGAGGACATGTATGTATTTGTGGAACTTTTTACCCTGTCTTTTCCAGCAGGCTTTCAAGCATTTTTATTTTGGGGCTTGAACAGCTGATGGAATCAGAATCATCACGTGAATATTTGGATAGCATGCGGCAGATGCTTTGTTCTTTTCCTGTGTATCTTCACAGGAAATTGCAGCCCAATTACATCTGGGTGAGGTCTTGTTCCGTCTTGCAAAGAAGAAAGCAGTTATCGGCAAGGAAATAATTTTCTCCCACATTGCACAACTGTTTTAATTCAGGTCTTCCCTAAAATGAGAATTTCACTGTCAACCCAGCCCATGTTAATTAGAGCTTGGCAATTACTTAAGTTCTTTGGCCCCAAACTAAATCTTTAGGAGCATTGAGCACCTTCAGGGAGGTGTTCAGGGAGTTTTTAGTCCTGTTGGGCCTTGCATGACCGTTATATAGCACTACATTCGCTTACAGTCTTAGAAACTTGGATAGAAAATTATTCGCCACATGGCTCCTGGAACCTAGGTTACGGGCGCAAAAACAGAAAGTCTAGTCGCCATTTTGTCCTTTTTACAAGAGTGACTTGCGCTGTGGCAGGGGGAGCGGTACTTCACTGTGCTGCAGTGTTCCTACTTTGGAGTTGGACAGGAAGGCTTTTCTCCTCCCATGCCGTCAGTGGCAGCTGTGGCAATTTTATTATCGAGTCTCAGTCGCCATACATGGCAGCAAGACTTCTGGAAGTGCTCGCAT